AATGCATTTTTTTCCCAAAGTATCACTGTGAACTTAATTGGATAGAGATGTATTGGGGTGCTGCAAAGTTTTACACTCGTAATAATTGTAATTATACCTGGACTGGTCTGCAAAAAACAGTTCCAGAAGCATTAGATTCAGTTCCTTTAATTACTTTACGTAGATATGCACAAAAATCATGGCGTTATATGGACATTTACAGAAAAGGTCTAACAGGAAAAGTAGCTGAATTTGCAAATAAAAAATATAAATCCCATAGACAAGTTCCTGATATGGTTTATGATGAAATTAACAATGTAATTTAAATAAATTGTTGTAAATAAAAAATTACTAAATTAAGAAAGATCTACAAATTGAAAATTGAGAAAAAATTTTTATTCCATAAATCGATTCCTTTTTTAAAGCTGAGTTCAATGGTGGTATTTTTTTAAAAATCTGATGTGTGGATCACATGATATTTCAATTTTTCTAAGTTCCCATTATAGGCCTTCTGCACTGTAGTTGTTTCAGATCTATCTATGGCACTGATCTACATAATAAATTTATGCGTTTTTTGCACAATTAATATAAATAATTATTAAAATGTCAACTCATGACAATCAATCCCTTCATCGTAATATTTCACCAAATTCTGTTCAAATTGAGGGTTCTAATGATAAGAATTTTGAAATATTTTATTTTGGCTCAATAGTAGTGTATCCGAAAGACATTTCATTGTGTAATTTTGCAACCACTTTATTTCTTTCTGAAATAATATCATTCTGGTTTAATTGCAAAACTTTTTGGTTATTTATACTTGCCCAGGAGTTGCTCTATTATATTATTTTGATCAACATTCAAATTTTGTAGCTTTCTTTGTATTTAGGCCCAGCGAGTAAATTTCGTCGTGTTACTAGTATAAATTTAGAAACTATCAGAAATTCAAAATTTGATTGGTTAATATGTTACACGCGCCTGTTACGCCCGTTCAATTTTACACACTGGGGAGGCCTTGTCCAACAAGTTTCCAGTTGGTATAGTAAATCAGAAGCCCACAGGATTATTATTTTTATTTCCACCTCTTTGATTCCAACGTTTTACATGATAATGGTCAAAATTGGTTTTATCATGATTTTGTGAATGGTGATGTAGCTTACATGAGAAACCTCCAATCCTATTATAAAATTAAAGATATATATATGTATATATTAATTAATTAATTAATTATGAGTTTTATATATAAGAATAAACAAACTAGCCTAATCTCAACTCATGTAAATTTCTTCAATTTTCTATAGATATTTCAAAAACTTCTCCATAAGGAGATAAAGCTCATTTTTGGAAGTTGAATGTGTGAACAAATTTTCCAAAAATAAACGAGATCCTGGATGCAGAGCTTGGAATTCAGCATCTATTAATTTATGCAAACTAGATGGGGCCTTATTATGATTACTATTATTATTATTATTATTATTATTATTATTATTAAATTATTAACATTATTATTATTGTTATAATTATTAACATCATTATTATTGTTATAATTGTTAACATTGCTATTAATGCTATTATTATTAATAATATTATTTTCATTTGATCTTTCATTTCCTATTGGGAGTTTGGAGAATGGTGATTACGAAACTTATGGTGATGCTCTCTATCAAAATTTTCTAGATTATTAGGTTGGGTGTCCCAACTAGAACTAGTAGTATTGAAATTTTGTTGTTGTAAAATTTGTTGTCTATGTTCAATATTCACCAACTCTTCTTTGTTATTATTACCATTGCCATTATCATTAGCATCATCATTATTAATGCTATTGATTTGAGATTCACAAAGGTCAGACTCATTTGTAGAAACGTTTGTGTTGTTTTTAACTTCTTGAACATTGGAAGAAACAAGCTCCATATTATTACTTTCAATTTGAGTATTGTTATTACCATCATTTTCAGGCAGTGGTTCACTATTATTAATAAGTTCTTTTGTTTTGTCAATTATTTCTTGACTGGTGTTTTCATTTGGCACGTTAATATGAATAGTTTGTTCATTTGATGGTGAGTTAGGAATAGATTTGTGGATGTATTTTCAAATACGGAAATTTGCAAAGGCATTATTTCTTTTTGATTTTGGAAGCCTCATCAAATTTTCTAATTTATCATCCATTTTTTGATAATTTCTTTATCACTAACAGTTGGATTTTTTTTCAGTCATCAATTCCTGTTGAGAAGAAATATCAAAACTAATAGAGGTTTACTGCATCATTGGAATATTTATTTTTAAAATTTAAAAAAGATAATGTATTTTCCGCAAAAGTTTTATTGGTGGGTCGGCATATTTAGAAATAAATTGGCGATTTCTGTATTTTTGCGGAAAACCCCCTTTTTTGGATCAAGGTAAATACCACTCATAATTTAATGTTAAGACATATTTACCGCATACTGACATATTTAAGGGTTCTCATATAATGATTTTAGATATGAAATTTTAATTACCTACACTAATTACTATGCACCAAAAAATATCGAAATTTTTGTGAACAAACATGGGTCATCGGATCCATTGGTGCACCTTTTTAACCATATTTAGTTACTAATACTAAGCAATTAAACTTGGTAAAACGAATTGTGATGATTTGGCCAATCAAATTAAATTTACTTTCAAAAAATGAAACTTTATTCTATCACAATATTTGCAACAGAACCTAATCAACCTGCTATTAATTTGGCTGGAGAATACGATCTTTCGGGTTTTGGTTTTTTTCAACGTTCAAGGTATGAATATACATGTCTATTGTTTTATATATTATTAATGATTGCTTATAATAATTATATTATTTTTCATTAATAGTGCGCAAGAATTTATGACATTTTTTGCTAAAACAGTTGCGGAAAGAACTAAGCCTGGTCAAAGACAAAGTGTTGAAGAAAATAGTAAGCCATTAAAATTGTAAATATATACTTTTATAAGTTTATTATTAGCTTAGCTTATTTATATTATCATTATTATTTTAGATTATGTATTCTATGCTTTCTCAAGACCTGAAGGTTTAACAGGCATAATTATTTGTGACAATGAATATCCACAACGTGTTGCATTCTCATTACTAAATAAGATTCTTGAAGATAGTCTCGTAAAATTCCCAAAACATACATGGAAATCAGGAGGAATAAATTATCCTGAACTTAAAAGCCATCTTGTAAAATATCAGGATCCAAAACAAGCTGATCAAATTATGAAAGTTCAAGATCAATTAGATGAAACTAAACTTGTCATGGTATATATATTGAGATTCTCCATATTCTTGTGATTGTATTATTGTTGATTTTTGTGTATATTATAGATGAATCTTATTTATTTTATTTGACTGGTGCTATTAGAATAAAACAATTGAAACACTTTTGCAACGTGGTGAAAAATTGGATGATTTGATTGATAAGTCTCAAGAAATTTCTTTTCAATCTAAAGCGTTTTATAAACAGGCGAAAAAGGTTTGTAAATTAGATGAAATCAAATTCTTTATTTTAGAAAAAATAACAATAACTAATTAAAAAATTTTTTTTTATTTAGACAAATAGTTGTTGTGTGATTTCTTAATGATAACAATATCATTATGATTATCAATGTAATATTGCATTAGTATTTGTTAGAAATTTTTATTTATTAGATATAATAATATCAACAATTTTCAAGTATTCAATCTTTATTATCATCACCATCACTATCACCATCACTATTATTATTATTATAATGATAATTACAAAATAAATTTGCATTTTCACCAGAGTTATTTTCTTTATACAAAGAGTTGATTTCTATATCAAGAGTAAATTATTATATGGATGAAAATTTTTTTTATACAACTCCACATTATATTAATATTGATTGGTATTAAATTTCAACTTGTTTGATATCATAATAACAAGATTAATTCTTCTTTCTTGCAATAAAGTAATAATATATTTAATTAATATTGTTATATATCACTCACTATATCTATCCACTGTATGGATTCACCAGGCCGTTATTGCACTATAACTATGGCCTGATCTTGTTAATAAGAAATAGTACTGTTGCTATTAATCAATTAGATCGTTCTAAAGTCCTTCAACATTCTTTCAATGCAGTATTGTAGCCTTTTAGCCAAACCACACTTTCCTTGTCAACCATAGCTTTGCTTTTATCATCATTATCATTATCATTATAAAATAAAAAATGAAAATACTATGCATACTGTAAGTCAAAGTATCCTTGACCAATTTAAAAACTAATTTATTACTAATAATCAATGTTTTAGAATGTTGTTGGGTTGCTTTAAATTTAAAGTTAAAAGTCATGATGACTGGGCACTCTACCAGAATGACAAAGAACACAATTATATTAGTAAAGAAATTTTGGACATGGATTCAATATGTATCAGCAAAGCGCAAACAATAATTTTGACTCATCAACATATTGAAACACCAATGGAATTTTGGTTCACCGTCTATTATAAAATTTAGTGTGAATATTCATTCCAAATACAACAATGCTTTTTTTAAATCAGAAAACTTTCTCCAATTAGTTTGACATGATTTTCACAACGAACTTGACTTAACTCCATGATGAACATAAAATCAAGTCTGTCATTCTTATATGTTGAAGCTGCTGCTTACAGCTGTAAAAGTAAGACTTTCCATCTTGATCATTGATAAAACGATTACAATAAAAAAAGACCATTAAAAAAATTAACATTTCGTCAGTTTGTGAGTTGATAACTATACAAATACTTTCACCTCTTCTGTTTCTTCAAATGATTTATTACACTTTTTTTGTAAAATTAGCTAACTTTGGATCTATTGTATTATCTGCATATTTTGTGCTACCAGTTGATTGACTTGTGAATAATTCAACTTAGATACATAATCCAAATCTATATTGTCCCCAGCCTAAAAAGGAATCATGCCAATTAACAATTATTCGGTCTTGACTGCTATGAATAGCAAGAGAATTGTAATAACTGCTCTAATTTAAAGGCTACACCTTATCCTCCTCATTGAATATTTTGTTAGAATTGTCTTTTTCATTGCTTTCTATTTCCAAATTCCCCAAATTTTCAATTATATTGATTGACATTTGTCCAGATGAATTTTGGAAGAAATTATTGGTCTTGTCGTTCAACTCCTAAGAAATACAGAGTCATTATTGTGATTTGGCAATAGTAAAATTAGCTATTTCTACTGACTCCCAACTTGCAAATAAAAAAATGCAATCTGTACTTTTGATCTTTTTTTGATAAAAATGATCCAAAATGAATGTTCCATTTTTGCTCATATTTACAAACCCATTGATATTTTCACCAGTAATTGTCAGTTGGTGAGATATACCTTGTTGTGAGATCTTTCATTGTCACAAATAATTATGCCTGTTAAACCTTCAGGTCTTGAGAAAGCATAGAATACATAATCTAAAATAATAATGATAATATAAATAAGCTAAGCTAATAATAAACTTATAAAAGTATATATTTACAATTTTAATGGCTTACTATTTTCTTCAACACTTTGTCTTTGACCAGGCTTAGTTCTTTCCGCAACTGTTTTAGCAAAAAATGTCATAAATTCTTGCGCACTATTAATGAAAAATAATATAATTATTATAAGCAATCATTAATAATATATAAAACAATAGACATGTATATTCATACCTTGAACGTTGAAAAAAACCAAAACCCGAAAGATCGTATTCTCCAGCCAAATTAATAGCAGGTTGATTAGGTTCTGTTGCAAATATTGTGATAGAATAAAGTTTCATTTTTTGAAAGTAAATTTAATTTGATTGGCCAAATCATCACAATTCGTTTTACCAAGTTTAATTGCTTAGTATTAGTAACTAAATATGGTTAAAAAGGTGCACCAATGGATCCGATGACCCATGTTTGTTCACAAAAATTTCGATATTTTTTGGTGCATAGTAATTAGTGTAGGTAATTAAAATTTCATATCTAAAATCATTATATGAGAACCCTTAAATATGTCAGTATGCGGTAAATATGTCTTAACATTAAATTATGAGTGGTATTTACCTTGATCCAAAAAAGGGGGTTTTCCGCAAAAATACAGAAATCGCCAATTTATTTCTAAATATGCCGACCCACCAATAAAACTTTTGCGGAAAATACATTATCTTTTTTAAATTTTAAAAATAAATATTCCAATGATGCAGTAAACCTCTATTAGTTTTGATATTTCTTCTCAACAGGAATTGATGACTGAAAAAAAATCCAACTGTTAGTGATAAAGAAATTATCAAAAAATGGATGATAAATTAGAAAATTTGATGAGGCTTCCAAAATCAAAAAGAAATAATGCCTTTGCAAATTTCCGTATTTGAAAATACATCCACAAATCTATTCCTAACTCACCATCAAATGAACAAACTATTCATATTAACGTGCCAAATGAAAACACCAGTCAAGAAATAATTGACAAAACAAAAGAACTTATTAATAATAGTGAACCACTGCCTGAAAATGATGGTAATAACAATACTCAAATTGAAAGTAATAATATGGAGCTTGTTTCTTCCAATGTTCAAGAAGTTAAAAACAACACAAACGTTTCTACAAATGAGTCTGACCTTTGTGAATCTCAAATCAATAGCATTAATAATGATGATGCTAATGATAATGGCAATGGTAATAATAACAAAGAAGAGTTGGTGAATATTGAACATAGACAACAAATTTTACAACAACAAAATTTCAATACTACTAGTTCTAGTTGGGACACCCAACCTAATAATCTAGAAAATTTTGATAGAGAGCATCACCATAAGTTTCGTAATCACCATTCTCCAAACTCCCAATAGGAAATGAAAGATCAAATGAAAATAATATTATTAATAATAATAGCATTAATAGCAATGTTAACAATTATAACAATAATAATGATGTTAATAATTATAACAATAATAATAATGTTAATAATTTAATAATAATAATAATAATAATAATAATAATAATAGTAATCATAATAAGGCCCCATCTAGTTTGCATAAATTAATAGATGCTGAATTCCAAGCTCTGCATCCAGGATCTCGTTTATTTTTGGAAAATTTGTTCACACATTCAACTTCCAAAAATGAGCTTTATCTCCTTATGGAGAAGTTTTTGAAATATCTATAGAAAATTGAAGAAATTTACATGAGTTGAGATTAGGCTAGTTTGTTTATTCTTATATATAAAACTCATAATTAATTAATTAATTAATATATACATATATATATCTTTAATTTTATAATAGGATTGGAGGTTTCTCATGTAAGCTACATCACCATTCACAAAATCATGATAAAACCAATTTTGACCATTATCATGTAAAACGTTGGAATCAAAGAGGTGGAAATAAAAATAATAATCCTGTGGGCTTCTGATTTACTATACCAACTGGAAACTTGTTGGACAAGGCCTCCCCAGTGTGTAAAATTGAACGGGCGTAACAGGCGCGTGTAACATATTAACCAATCAAATTTTGAATTTCTGATAGTTTCTAAATTTATACTAGTAACACGACGAAATTTACTCGCTGGGCCTAAATACAAAGAAAGCTACAAAATTTGAATGTTGATCAAAATAATATAATAGAGCAACTCCTGGGCAAGTATAAATAACCAAAAAGTTTTGCAATTAAACCAGAATGATATTATTTCAGAAAGAAATAAAGTGGTTGCAAAATTACACAATGAAATGTCTTTCGGATACACTACTATTGAGCCAAAATAAAATATTTCAAAATTCTTATCATTAGAACCCTCAATTTGAACAGAATTTGGTGAAATATTACGATGAAGGGATTGATTGTCATGAGTTGACATTTTAATAATTATTTATATTAATTGTGCAAAAAACGCATAAATTTATTATGTAGATCAGTGCCATAGATAGATCTGAAACAACTACAGTGCAGAAGGCCTATAATGGGAACTTAGAAAAATTGAAATATCATGTGATCCACACATCAGATTTTTAAAAAAATACCACCATTGAACTCAGCTTTAAAAAAGGAATCGATTTATGGAATAAAAATTTTTTCTCAATTTTCAATTTGTAGATCTTTCTTAATTTAGTAATTTTTTATTTACAACAATTTATTTAAATTACATTGTTAATTTCATCATAAACCATATCAGGAACTCGTCTATGGGATTTATATTTTTTATTTGCAAATTCAGCTACTTTTCCTGTTAGACCTTTTCTGTAAATGTCCATATAACGCCATGATTTTTGTGCATATCTACGTAAAGTAATTAAAGGAACTGAATCTAATGCTTCTGGAACTGTTTTTTGCAGACCAGTCCAGGTATAATTACAATTATTACGAGTGTAAAACTTTGCAGCACCCCAATACATCTCTATCCAATTAAGTTCACAGTGATACTTTGGGAAAAAAATGCATTTATGTCCATGTTGCTCAGTAACCTTGATTTTTGAGCAACAAAATCATCTTGCAAAGAAAGAATTCGGCGCATACAACAATCTGTTCTGGTATTATCAATAACTTTAGATTTACCTTTACACTGTTTGCAATCACCAGGAAGTCCTTCTTTCCATAAACCTCTCTCAATCAGAATTTGTTTCATTCCTTTTGGTAAATTTGGGTGCTCTGTATGATTACTTGGAAACACCATTGATTGAAATGTTTTATTGGGTCCAAAGTAGGTATTTCTCATTATTGCTTGTTTCCCTCCAGGTTTAACATTCATATTAATAGCATTCAATCCATCTGGTGGCATTGCACCATGATTGGTGCTGTTATCAAAAGCAAATACACCAATTGCATTAGGATGTAATGCATTAAAAATTGGTATTGCATAGTCAACAACTTGTTCTAAAAGATGATCTGCAGTCCACCAATCTTCTTCATTTTTCCCTGGTCTTAAATATTTTCTGGCTTCTTTTGGTAAGTCTGGAAATTGTAAAATTTGACTTTCTGATAATTTAAGCCTACCAACTGTTTCTGTGAGAAATTCACTCACCATTATTGATTTACCTTGGCCTTTCCTTCGTAATGGTTGTTCTCCAAGAGGTGCCCATACTATTGGTCGATCATCATTTGCATAAAACAAACATTCATCATGAACTACAAATAAATGTAATTTTTCATTCTCTAATAAAATAGGATTCTTTTGTTCCATATTCTCACCCTCAAAGATTGGCATATATTTTTCATAAAATTGCATTTCCTCAAGGAACTTTTTCCTATATTCTATGACATCTTCACGTTCATGTCCATCATAATAAATGCCTTTTTTATGTGATTGAGGCTTTAAACCTAATTTATGTAACCAAATGCGAGCTGTTTGATAAGATATTGATTGTGTAGTCTCTATACTTGGAAATAATACCTTGTTAACAAAATCTTTGTATTTACAAGGTGTTACTTTATTGCCATTTGTTCTGACAAAATTTAATGATTGTTCAATCACATCTTCATCATCAATGAAAGACTTTGTTTTCTGATGGCAACCTTGTAATGATTTTGGCAGTGTACCATGGTTTAACCAATATGATGAACATTTTCTTATAACTCTAGATTTATATACTCCTTTTTCATAAATGTCACTGGCTGCTTTCATACTAGCATCAATGGAAGTCATGCCATAATTCTTCTTATAATTGAAATATATATATATAGCTCTATAACATAAATATTCATATGCAGAAATTTTTTTTAAATTACCTGACAAAATACGATTCAAATCCTGTAACTTTTCATCAAAATTAATATGATTCTCCATTTGGTCATCATTATCATCACTATCATCAACATCAACATCAACATCAACATCAACATCAACATTATCATCAACAGTATCAACATTAGCAATATTATCAACATTACCATCAACATCAACATCAACATCATCATCAACAGTATCAACATTAGCAATATTATCAACATTATCATCAACATTATCAACATTATCATTACCATCATCATCAAAGACATCATCATTATTGTCATCAACACTTACCTTTTTAACATTAA